GTGCCCCAGCTTCAAGTGGAGGGTTTGAGAATGCTTTCCATGCAGAATATTCCACAGCCTGGAGATTACGTCACACTCCAGGGATGTCAGAGGTGTGGATTTGAATTTCTTCCATCAAAAGGGGTACTGAACCTGGGTCTACCTCTTCCTTTCTCTACTTTTAGAAAAATAGAAGGATGCACTATAGGCAGAGGAGGAAACTGAACTTAAGCGCTGAAAGAAATCAATCTTAAAATCACTGAGTCATAGTCTTAAAGATCTCTAACAGGTGGCCAGCCTTTCAGGGAAAATAATTTCTTACCTAGGTTCCAGAGGCTATATTTTGAAGAAGAGCTGATCTTGGTTTATTCACAAATGAGCAATTCAGCAAAGAGCAATTCAGATAAAGTACCTGATGCCCCCACATACTACACAGTATTAGCCTTTTTGTTCCCCATTCATAAAATAGAGTAATAGTTCTTCCCTTCTTCTCATGCCTTCTATGAGGATAAATCCATTACAGATGGTCAGGTACTCAGATGTTGATGTAATGGGGGACAAAATAATATCTCCATATATGAGCATTTTGTAATTGCCAGATGAGCAATAAACAAATGCGATTTTTTATTGTCTTCATTAGGAGTTAACTTAGGTTCTAAGAGGGGTTTTATTTTGACACATACCAAACTAGAGGGTTGTTCAAGTGTAAGTGTTCTGGTAACAAAAAAAAAGAAAACAAGGTTATAAAACACAGATATTTGGGGATTAAGTTACATGATGTGGACACGTGTCACCAATAATATAGAGAATCAAGAGGTTTGTGAAAATGGCTTCTAAATTCACCACAAATGAAAAGCTAGAAGTTTTTTAGATCACATACTCTCTCAGCAGATTGTATATTCCTGGAGAAAAATTTGTCTTAAAGTGGAAGAATATACAAAAGTTAAAAGTTATATTTCTTGGCTTTCTCCTCTGCTTTAAGAGTAATAACTCTGGTAGTTTATAGAACAGTGGTTTTCAACCCATGGTCCATGGATCCCTAAGGGTCTGTAGAGCCATGTCTAGGGGGTCTGTGAAAGGTGGCTGTAAAGATGGCAGTCTTGTGTGAAGGGGAAATGCTGCTGGTGTTACTGCTCTGCTGCTGCTCCTCCATCTCCCCCCATGTTCAGAGGCCACCTGAGCTTCTTTGGCAGGCAGGCAAGTGCCAGCAGGCAGAAGGCAGCCAGTCAGCCCCTCCTCATCCTGCTGCCACTGCTGCTTCACAGGACCTGGCAACACTGCAGCCCTGCCATGCACCTGGAGATACCAGTCTACAGACTGGAACAGACGTGTCTGTGTGCGACTGAGACAGAGAGACAGTGAGCGTGTGTGCATACCAGTTTGGATGGAATTTCCACTGGGAAAACTGGCAGTGTCTTGAGGCACTTATGGAAAGCTTTATTTCAATACAATAAGAACCACATGTATTTTTAGTGAAAGATTAGGTCCTGCAAAACTGATGGGAGGCCGCCAGCAAACGTCTGGTGGGGTATAGGG